GCGCTGTCACGCTAACCACCGCACCGCACACACACTCTGCTCCGGTCCAGAGACACGATAGCACGGAGCGGATCACATACGCGAGTGGGCGCAGACCACAAAATGTATCGGAGCTATTTGAATTCGTCCTGTTTCAGTTAAAATGACGTCAACACATAGAGTAACGCTGCCTGTTTCTAAGCATTTCAGGGGACCTTTAAGGTTGACATGTTGGTATTAAAGCATGCCATTTTTGTTTTGTTCCTTCTTTATTTTGTCCTCTACAACACAAATCAATAAAATGTACATTTTATGACTCAGTCCCAACATTATATAGCAGGGGTGCCCAAACTCGGTCCTGGAGGGCCGGTGTCCTGCAGAGTTTAGCTCCAACTTGCCTCAACACACCTGCCTTCAAGTTTCTAGTATGCCTAGTAAGAGCTTGATTAGCTGGTTCAGGTGTGTTTAATTGGGGTTGGAGCTAAACTCTTCAGGACACCAGCCCTCCAGGACCGAGTTTGGGCACCCTTGTTATATAGTTTCCTGCTAGTTTGCAGCCGGTCTGCTGCCAGTTCTCTCCATAACTCAGTGCAGTGTTTGTGAATGGAGCGGTTGTGTGTTGGACTACTGAGGCATTTCTTGGTGTGGTGACTGTGGCTGTTGTGTGTTTGTGGATGACCATTGAGGTCCTTCCGTTCATCCTTACTCTGTGGCTCAGGATCTACGGGTCAATGTGGTTTGTTTCTTTGCTCCAACAGAGACTGCTTGTTTGCAGAATTTATTTCCCCTTTCATACTCTGGACTTTCTGGTGGATGAAAGACAGTCTGTCTGTCTGTCTTATCTTTTGTTCTATCTATTGTTGTTATTGCATTAAGAATTATTAGTAGAGATTGTCATGTGATCTCAACATGGCTGCCTCATGACCTACTGCTGGTAAAAATAAACTTTTTTTTAGGTCACTTATATGATTTTTCATCTCATGAGACTGCACATCATTAAAATGTTTAAAATATATCTAATTGTCAATTTGTAAAATGATTATGGTTTCATTTTCAAATGAATAAGTATTTGATTTTTTTAATACTTTGGATCTTTCACATTTATTTTACAATATTTAAATCAGTTTTGCAGACATCCACTTTTTCATCTAAATTCTGAACGCAGATACTACATGGACCTACTTAAACAAGCTCTGAAGTTATTTGTTGACTTTTTAGTATTACAGTCTTTTTATAGCTGAAATTCTTATCAAATTTTCCATTATTGTCAGAATAAACAAGCATGTATGAATTCTGAGGATTTGTGTGGGCCTGGTTATGATTAAGCCTCTGGTTTATTTCTTTGGTTTGTTTTGAAGCTTTTTAACTTCTAGTGTGAGTGGTTATAGTGAATTATCCCATTGATTTAAGACAGTAATGGGGCAATCCCGATACATTTCAAGCTTTTCCGTTTAATTCTCTTATTTTTCTCTGTCTCTGATTATCCCTCTCTCAGCATATTTGTGTTGGAAAGAGAGTATACGTGTTTCCGTCAGTCAGGTTTTTGCAGTATTCATCTCACAAAAAATGTCATCAATCCCAAAGATCCAGTATATTGTATTCCTCTGTCATCCTCTCATATAAAGCAAACAAACTCGATGGGGATATTTATTGGCTGTCAAGACACTATCTAATGTATTTATTCATTTATTTGTCTGTTTTATTTTTTAACTCATATCCCATAGGAGTCAGATATAGACACGACGGTTTCCTCTGGAAATATTTTCTCTTGGACACAGTACTGTAGAGGAAGCGTCTTAAGACACAATCTTGAAATTATTTATTGATTGTTGTCAGGAATTTGGAAATGTGGTGGATGCAGGACTGTTATTATTTCGTCACTGAGGTTGTGTGGTGGTGAGATTGTTCAAGCACACTGTTTAGCTACGTTATATCAGTAGCCGTTATGTGGAGTCAAGGGTTAATGGAGGGGCCATGGGAATGAAAATACACACACAAGCTCGAGTTTCACTGGCCATTTCCTTTCACTGCATGACTGTCTATAACTACAACTATAGCTATCTTCAGAATAGCATGTTACCATGCTGTTTTCACAGTATGCACTATGTATACTGTGCTCAGTATGCACGTTTTCCTGTACATATTTGCACATATTTGGACTTATTTGCACATTTTTGGACTTATTTGCACATTTTTTTAAATAGAAATAGTATTGAGATTTTCAAAAATAATTGGGATCACATATATGGAGCTCGTGCATTAACCTTGAGGCCCTGCATTAACCCTGGCCCTCAAACAAACCAGCTTGCTTCTTTTGACAGTGGTCCAAACAAACCCTCTGTCATCTCCCATGCTCCCACTCAGAACAGCACTTAAGTTGCTGCAAAGAAATAGAGCACTTTAAAATTTACATATGACCTTTGAATATAGCGATAACTGTAGAATCTACGTATTGCATCGCTGCATGAAAGGCCTGAGGCAAGACAACTCAGGTGTGAAATCACTGAATGGAGTCTTTTGAAGGGTTCAGTGTTGTGGATTCTCTTGTGTGGAAATCTCCTCTCGTGAAGTTAGTTATTTTGTGAGTTGTGACAGGGAATGGAAGAAGCAGATGGATATCTGAATTTTAAATTCAGAATTCTCCTCTTCATCATTCACATCTGTTACTCTTCAGTCTCTCTTTTCATATAAAGCTAGCCTATAAAACGTGCACCAGGTAACGTATTCCACTGAAGAAAAAAAAAAGTGTAGTTTTGTGTCTCCACACCAATAGGTATAAATAGGTATAAAGTCCAAGACCACAGTCATGTGGTAAGTGAAGCAAAACAAATTACTTTGAGCACTCAAGGGCTTTGTCCGAAAGCTTAGGCAGCTAACTTGTTGCCTTTTTGCTCTATCAGGCAATGGCTGTGTAGGCAGCATTTGTACACAAAGGTACCTCACAAAATGATTTCGGAGGCAGCATAATTGTTTAAAGGGGTCATATGATGCTGCTAAAAATAACTAGTCTTTGCAACTTTACAGATCTTCTTTATGCACCAAGAGCTTGTAACACTCCAAAGAGAAAGGAAAAATTTAAATCGCATCATATGACCCCTTTAATGATCTACAACAAAATAGAGAGAGCTGAATATTTAATTATTACATTTATGCTGCCTTCAAAAATCTGATGAGGGTATCTCAGTAGACAGGATATCACATAATCATTGGATTTGGACATGCATATGCTACTTGCGGAGGCAGCATTTTTCAGCTTTTGGACACAGCCAAGTGGTCAGGGTTTGGCAGGGTAGCATGGTCCAGTTAGCCCCTGTTGGTAAATGGTGTAACTACACCATTGTGCACCATTGTGCTGCCAAAACAGCATTTTTGCATTGATGGGCTTTCAAAAGTGACTGTATTATGACAAAACAACTTATACCATCTTGACTGTTAACACCCATGACTTTGAGCCTACTTTGTAAGTTTGTTTTTCTCTAACTTGATTCTCTTGGCTGAAATTTTAGAATTTTTTTTTTGAGAGAACTGTTCTTATGTGCATTTCCACAGAAGCCTGTACTGTACTACCTGTGTAACTGGGTCAGCATTTAGACTAATGCAAATCTGACTTTTCTGTCTGCATGCATCTGTCAGGGAATGTAATCTTAACAATAGTTGACCCATAGACTCTCAAAGTTGCATTCAAATGGCAGTGAAGGCAATTGTACATATTTTCAAAAGAGTGCTGTGATTTGCTCTTCTGTGTCTGTTGAGAACAGAAAGAGATTAATCTTGTCTTGTAACTATGTATGATTAAGTATATAATCATCTTTATGCTTGGTTTATGTCATTTAATTTCCTTCCGAGTGACAATATATTTATTTACATGCAATATATTAATTATGGGCTAAACTGTTTCTATAACAGTAACTGCATATTGCATTGGGAGACAGGAATGGGTTTGCGTGATAAAGCATTAGAGTGCCACCTAATGGCCTTACAGGCAGATCACAGACACACTTTGTTGTCAAATGTTAGTGTAATATGTTCATAGTTAATGTGTTTCTCTACACCTGTGGTAACTCTTTTAGGACACAGGTCTGTGAAACTGACTTAATACACTAAAACCACTAAAAAGTCAGTTCTGAGAAGAATTTTGTATTATGTGTTAACAATTGCTCGGTATTTTTTATTAGTTTTGGGTAATTGACAGCTCTGGTAATTTTACAGTTTACATATCAGACATTGAGCTTCTTTAATAATGCTAATATAATGCCAGTAACAATTTGTTTTTCATAGGAGGGGAAGAAGAAATTTGACAAGGAGACGGAAAAGTACTATTCCTCACTGGAAAAACATCTCAACCTGTCGTCCAGAAAAAAAGATTCAGCTCTGCAAGAGGTGAATCATTCCACAAATAAGGCTAGATTTGCATTTTCCGAAGGAAATACCAGTGCTTACATGGCATCAAAAGAATTATAGTAAGCTCAGGTTTAGGTTTTAGTCTTAGTTTTGAGTTAGTGCTGCATTAGAAGTGTCTGACCATCATGACATCTTGCTTTCTGTCTGCTGTGCACCAGACTCAGAGAGAATCAACAAATAACTGCAGTGTAACGGCGAGTATAACTGCAAATATATGCACAGAGGACAAAGACCAATCAAAATTTAGTATGCAAACCAATGCAAGAAAGACAACTAATCACAATTCCATTTATTTATTTATTTTTTTAAACAGAATCAAATAGCACATGTAAGACTGAAACTGTGTACATTGCTTATGATCATGTTGTCTTTTTTGATGACAACAGTGGCATTATTAAATTTGAAAAGCCACTCTTATGCACATAACCACAAAAAAAAAAAAAAACATGTAGTCAAATGTGTCTATTGAAAAAGAAATCAGAAGCCCATCATGCAGTGTAATGCAACGAAAATCAATCCATCTGGTCAGTAATGGTTTTGTAGCCAACAGGAAGTAGCTGGACAGTTTATGACCACTGAAGTCATAATCTCACTGTTTTATCATGCTAATTTACAAACCTCAGCTGTCATGTCCTGTCCCACAATAACCCCTGATCTATTAAAGGTACAGTTCACCCAAAAATTCACCGTCATATTGTTCTAAACCTGTATGACTTTCTTTATCTGTGTAAGACAAGGTATTTTGAAGAATGTTGCTAACCAAAGTGTTGGTTGCCATTGACTTTCATTGTATGGACAAAAAGACATTGAGACATTTCTGAAAACATCTTTCACAGAAAAAATAAAAATAAGTTTGGGACACCATGAGGGTAAGTGAATGATGACTTTTCATTTTTAGGAGAACCTAACATGCACTAGTCTGTAAAAAAAAATCTCAAATTAAATTAAATCCGATAGGAAAGAAAAAATCTCAAATTAGATCTTTTTCTAAGCAGCAATGAGATAAATTGAGATTTTTGATGAGACCTTCTGCTTCTCAGATGTTTCTCCTGAAAAGACCACATTAATCTCAAGTCTGTCTCCTCTGGAATTTCAGAAGAGTCTGGGGCCATGTCCACACGAACGCGGTTATTTTTAAAACCGCAGCTTTTTCTAGCCGCTTTTTCCACACGCAAACGCAGCACCAGTTCACTGAAACCGAACATTTTTGAAAACGCCTGCCAGGGTGAAGATTTTCAAAACCTCCGGTTGCAGTGTTATCGTGTAGACAGCGAAACCGGAGTTTTTGGCTTGTGACGTCGGCGCCTGCGCTGTTATCTCCGCCTACTGGAGACTTTTTCAGGCTTCTGATTGGCCAACATGGCTTTACGGTTGAGATTATATAGCCACCTGTTGGTTAGGCATTCTCTTGACAGTGCGTCATAGCATGCATTTGCGTTTTCATGTGGACGGAATTTTTTTTTTTAAACAGAAGAAGGAAAAACTATAAAAAATACCCGTGTACGTGTGGACATGGCTGTGCTCATATTTGACAAGATAGTAACTGCAACCAAAAGTCACACATTTTAATATGAGCTTAAACATGTCTACCCAAATTCGTCCAATACCAATGATCTGAACTGCTATCCATGATGTCAAGTTCTTCTAATGAATCTTTGGAAGGAACATCTGAGGTAGACTTGATCCTTCCTCTTAACTTGAAACAATAACTGAAAGTTTTTTGCTATTAAACACAGTTTAAGAAGAACAGCTCTTTATGTTCTTTTTTCAGCCCTTTTCGTGTTTTGCCAGCTAAATCTACACTCAGCAGACAGCTGACGTGAAATACACAACAGCTGGACCTCACATATTACAGCAGTGGACAGAATTTGCATGACACATTTCTGCATTAAGCATATTTATATGCATAAGTGTGAGCGGTAAAGTGAGGCAGAGAATGTGCTGTGTAGATTTAGAGGGGCATCCAGTGTTTATCACCTGACATGGGAAAAAAGACGCTGTTAATCTCCCAGAAGCATCGCATTCTGGTCTGCTCTTGAGTTTCAGGGTGTGACATCAGCATCTTTGAAGTCTTTTGCTAAAGTCACTATTAGAAAGTCGAATCTTTGCACAGAGGTTAAGTTTGAGAGAGCTGGGATAACTGTAATGATTAATAAATGGAGCATCAGTCATAACTTTATGCATTCACCATGCACTGAAAAAAATGGCTTTGAAACAATTTTCACTCATAAATTGCTATTAAAGGGGTCATATGATGTTGCTAAAAAGAACATGATTTTGTGTATTTGGTGTAATGAAATGTTTATGCGGTTTAAGGTTAAAAAAACATTATTTTCCACATACTGTACATTATTGTTTCTCCTCTATGCCCCGCCTTTCTGAAACGTGTTGATTTTTACAAAGCTCATCAGTCTGAAAAGCGAGGTGTTCTGTTATTGGCCAGCTATCCAGTGCATTGTGATTGGCTGAATACCTCAAGCGTGTGACGGAAATGTTACGCCCCTTACCATACTGTAATGCCCTGTCCGGCCGGAGCGACGAGACAAAACATTAAAGCCCATTATAATTGAGGCATTTGTTGCATCCAGTGGGGACATAATTATGAATTATAATGGCTTATACTGTCTTTTTACGCGTTGCGTTGCATCGCATAAAACCATGTCTGCATTTGTGATCGGAGAAATGACAAACAACAAGTGCTACTCTACACTGCTCAAAACTCGCGTTTGAATCGTCAGTGGCAAATTCTTTAAATATAAAAAACGTACTTACAGTCTGTGAGTCAGAACAGCCGGCATTGTAGTCTACTCTCCCAGGATTAGGAAACAGTCCTCCATAAAATGTGCTGCACACATCTGAATATTTGGGTTGAACTGTTCTGGAGCAGTGTTGTAAATACAACTTAACCACTGATTTCTAGTCGTGTTCTCTTTTGGAAGGCCAAACAAAGTAGTTTCGCTTTCACAACAAAACACACGGCGGGCTAGAGTGAGCGGAGGCAGGTTTGAGTGAGCAGAGGCGGGCGGGCTTGAGAACGGCGCGGCCGGCAGATTCGACGAAGGAGCATCCGGCGGACTTGCGGCAACCACATTTGACGACCCCGGGCTGGACTCCGCTTCATCCACGGTGGGGCGTGTTAGAACGAGCCGTTTTAGGTAGGCGTGGTTGACTCTTAACTTTTATAAAGAATATCTCTTTGGATTTGAGACTTTAGTCTTTGCAACTTTACAAATCTTCTTTATGCACCAAGAGCTTGTAACACTCCAAAGAGAAAGGAAAAATTGAAATCGCATCATATGACCCCTTTAAATGTCACACACAATTACAAAAAAAGGCAAGTAACACATTGATTTAAGCATGGAATTTTGAAATAGATGGACTGAAATGGTATTTTCTTGTAAAACATGCTCCAAAACCATTGCTTTATATATAACTTTGGAAAATCATTATTTTCCGTGTAGTGCAATAACCTTTTTTTTTCAGTGATTAATTTAGTAAATTAAGTAAATGTCTTGAGGTTGTATGGGTCTAACTTTATTTTCAAAAATCATATCATGCGTCAATTCTCCAAATCTGACTTGTACTGACACCTAGTGGTGTGGATGCAGAAACATGCAAAAGGAATAGTTTTCAATTACCGATGCTACTGTAGAATTGGACTATTCACCGGAAGGCATGATTAATTTATATTTGTGAGTGAAAAAAATCCAGCAGCAGGAAGATTTACAGAAATAAAGTAAATAGTATTCGGCTGGTCATGTGATCTCAACATGGCTGCCCCCATGAGGCGACCCGCTCCATGTAAGATTAAAGAGTTTTTATTAGACTACAGTCTTCATATCAAGTCAATGTACATCATTTTAAACATTTTACAAAAGTACTATTTATTTATTTAGTTATTTAATTCTGTCTTTTGATGAGGATAAATACTCCTGTTTTGTATAGTGTAGCAGTAGTTACAGAACTTTACACTGAATTTTGTGTGCAAGTCTTGTCAGTCTTTTGACTGAGCAGTTATGTGAAAACTTCAGAATTTACAAACTGACACAAAACATTGTGAAATCCCTGTTTGCACTGAGAAAGAGGAAGAGATGTTGTGTAACAGGCATATGATGGAAACTTGTTATTTACATCTTGTTGCATTTATATTGTGTTCGGGTTGCAGCTCTTGGCCTTCCTACAGGGTCTGTTCACATTCTACCATGAGGGTTACGAGCTGGCCCACGAATTTGAGCCCTACAAACAACAGCTACAGTTTAACCTACAGAATGTAAGTACATCTCTTGTCATGCAGCTTCTCTTTCACTTTTTCACTTACTGTGGCCTCCTTTTTGACCAAAAATATGTTTTTACTTTTTAAAAAATATATATTTAAAGCCTCATATTGTTATGCCTGGCACATATAAAATGTTTTGCGTCCATTTTGCCCTCTGGTTTTTCAGCTGTAACCTGCTCCATGTGACTTTGATCAATATTGGCCTGTAATAAAACCACTTCCTGTTGCTCGTCAGCATCTCTGTGTCTGGGTTCCGTGACCTTTGACCCTTTCATTGCATCACTGTCACTGTAAACTCAAAGCTGATGTGGTGTCACAAAATTTCAGCTTGTTCTAAAGCACAAAAGACCTGTGCTGCAGCACTGCGGCATATATATGCTGAAATAACACTGCTGTGAAGGCGTGAGGCATTAGCCTTAACAGTAATTCACTACCGCAGGACAAGCACCTTTAATATTGTAGGATTGATAATTCACGGTGATGCATTTGGCTGTGATTTCAGTATCTCTAGAGGAGAAAAGAAGGAGATGAAGCCATTTCTTTTCATTTCTTTCCAGCAAACTGTGAAAGACAATTTGAATGCACTTAGTCTGTACATATATGAATATATATGAGATCATTCATGGCTAGGTGTGCATTAAATAAGGTATAAAGCATGTCCAGCTGGTTGTTATTGAAAAATATACCCAGACACGGTTAATCAGGTCTTTTATCACCCGGAGGGGTTAATTTTGTGTTAACAACAAGCTGGATGTACATTATCCAGCTTATTATGAGGCTGCTTGCCACATAAGTAAATAATTGGGCACGAAATATTGAATTGAGTTGTAATATTTTATTAGCTCATTTGTAAATCTTCCGCAAAGAAAACTGTTCCTTTTAGCCACAACAAACAACTTATTTCATGACTTTTCAACTGGACATGAAATATTGATTTTTAGTTGAAAAACAAAGCAATCATTCTGGCAACTAGGAGAGCATTACAACAGTACTGCAGTACTATTATTATGGAAATCTTCTGATTTAATTTTCAATACAAATGCTAAATGGCACACGAAATGGCACCAGTTGAATTTGAACGAAACAAGAGATAACGAGTCTGCGGTGTGATATGAGATAAAAGAAGTGCCAGCTTCAGATACCAGAATGAGCTGTCTGTTATACAGCGTTGGTATTGACGACAGTCATTATCAGGAAACATTAGACCTTGGAATGTTGCAACTGACAATCAGAATCAAGTATTCCAGAGAATCGTTTAATAAACACCTAGCTGTGGATTATCTTGCCCGCATGAAAAGCTGCATTGATGTTTGCAGTGCAAAATTTGAAACATCAACAATATCACCTCTTTGCTGAGAAATGTAGCTTTTATTCAATAAAAGTCACAGGGCAGTGTTGATGACAAGTCTCTGTGCTCCTGAATGTTTTCTGTGTGATTGTCTCTTATTGTCTGATTTTCAAATCCATTTTTGTTTCAAATCAAAGTTGATTCACCTCGTAGCTGTTTGGTTCATGGCTTATAACTCTTTAATGACGACTTTTTGTTTAAAGCGAATTCACTTTTAGACCAACACAAGCAATAACAATCAGTCTGAGGAAAATTCTTTTCAGTCCATGTGCGATGTTAAAAGCATTGCCCTCTGTTAGATGCCAGCTGCATTACTCGAATATGATTTCAGGTCATTCTCGGCAAATGGTGTATTTATTTATGCCAAATAAAAAAGATGGTTTCTTTTCCCTAAACCACCTAAAACTATTGAATTTTGATGAGCTTTTGTTTTGAATAGCATGCTAAAAGTTTTACAGATTGTTTGAAGACACTAACAAAAAAAGTACTAAAAATGATCATGCTCTTCTTACCTTGGTTTTGTGGTATTCTATGCAGTAGCTTTGAACACCATGCATGCACATGGTAGTCATTCAGGACCATCAGTTTACCTTGTAAGGCTTCTCTAATGGTTAAAGCTCTGTTAAAATACCTAATTTTGGCCCAAATCTAAGGCAGCATCACATGTATCCTTTGGAGATGAGGGAAATCCCAGAATGCATAATGCCCAGAATGCAACTAAGTTGGCTAAGTCTAAAGAAATGGTAATTATAAATATGCTAACAAGTATTTTTTTTTTATCTATTTCAAATTGGACTGTCACACAAAATGTGTAATGTCCAAACCTAGTAACGTCCAACACTATAATGCACAATAATGCCTGCCAACTTTTTAGCAGTCTTTTGTTCTAGAAATAGTTTACTGTAACAATAATAATAATAATAATAATAAAATCTTAAGTAAAGTTGAGAAATAGTTGAGTCACAACTTTACAAGCTTTAATTTGAAGCCATAAAAATGTCCAGTGAGTTGTGCTAAAATCTCATTTAGTTTTATCTGAAACAGATCAATGTGAATCTGGCAGTGTTTTTATTATGCTGGTTTTGTACTTAAAGGGCCAGTTCAGAAATGAAATATCTGGTGAGTGGTACTAAAACTTTAATGCTAAATTGCATTTGAAAATAAAGTACCATCTACACTAAACCCTACCTTAAACCTAACCGATAGTGTTAGCAAGCACATAGTGTAAAAAAATGCATTTACTGAAGCAACCATGTCTTTTTAGCTTGCTTCTACAAATCTTTGAGCTCTTTCATCATGACTTGTGTTTCATGAGACTCGTACCCGAGTGCTCCTCATCGTAAGTGCAGCCTGTACCCAGTGATTTATCAAGCAAATTAGAAAAAGCCATACATATGGAGCTGATTGTATGCAAACAACAAAATGTATTAGTTTATAAATCATGCGCTATCTTTTGAAACAGAGCTTCTCTTTCCTATGCATGTCTGTATACTGTAGATGTCTATTGCTGTATACTTATTTCAGTCCCATGTCTGGTTTTAAATGTATTCGCATCTGTCAGATTAAATATTATTCCAAAAATGGCAGTTGCAGTGCTGAGATACGATTCCCATGATCTGTTGTTATACATGTGTTTTTGTTTGTTGGATGAAGACAAGAAACAACTTTCTGAGCACCAAGCAAGAAGTAGAAAAGCTGATGAACAGAGTCCGATCTTCAGATCAAGACCAGAAGCCCCCGGGCCAGTGGACAATGGAAGGCTACCTCTATGTCCAGGAGAAACGTGAGTGTTAAATGGACAGACAACAATCTTTCAGGCTCTAAGAATGAGCAAACAGAAGAACAGACAGTCTGAGGCCTTCCATACCAGACACTTTTAAAAAATATGATGATAACAAGTCTAGAATTTGGTTTTCATGCATCTTCATTTTTATCTTCCCTAAGTGACCTCACTCTGGTCTTATCCTGTCTTTTTCCTGTTCCTTCATACTGCAGAGGAAATGCCAGAATTAAATTGCTGTCCACATGTAAACAGTTAGATTACATTTGATTAATATTATAGAATTTCAGATAAGACGGTGAAAGACCTGGTCTAGGAAAGGATGATATTGCCCTCTGGTGGATGGTTACATAATACACAGTTATTACAAAAAAATATTGTATAATATCATTTATAACGTATTGAGTGACAGTAGATTTTAAAATCAAAACATATTAAGTGATCACAGTAAAGAAATAAAAAGTATAAATACATATTAAATACACACTTTCTTTTTAAACATTTTAATTAAATATTCTATATTATTCTATAAATGTACTAAAAATTAACATTAAAGCTAATTGGAGTAGGAAAACTGAGTTTGCTGTAGTCCATTATTTGCTTGCATGTCTATAATGTATTGTGTTATTGTAAATGTATTTTTTTGTTCGTAAAGTATTTTTTGTAATAACTGTGGTATATATATATATATATATATATATAATTTTTTCATTCATTCAAATTTTAGAGCTAGAGAGCTTACAAATGACTTATGTTTTTCCAAGCAAGTATATCACTTTTGCACATCTCATGTGTGTGTTGCAGGGCCTTTGGGATGCACATGGACACGCCATTATTGTACATACGAAAAAGGCTGCAACATATTCAGCATGTGCAACACAGAGGCAAAACCCACAGCTAGACAGGTACAAAGATGTTCATTTTTCAGTGATCTGTAGGAGCAGAGGTGCTGTTTGCATCAGGTCCTCACTTTCTGTCTCTGTCTTTTCACAGAACGGTGTCATGTCAAATCCCACAGAGAAGTTCAGACTGAAGTCCTGTATCAGGAGGAAGACTGACTCGATTGATAAGCGCTTCTGTTTTGACATTGAGGTGGTTGAAAGGTGAGTGTCTGCACTGACAACACAGCACAGGTGTTTCACTCCCTGAGAAATATTTCACCCAAAAATGGACATTTTGGACATTTTTATTCACCCTCATGTTGTTATGAACCCGTGTGAACCTGTCTGTCTTCTGTGGATCACAAAAGCAGAAATTTTGAAGATTCTTTATAATATCACCTTTTGTGTTTTACGAGTCATACAGGTTTGTAACAACTAGAGAGAGAGTAAATGAATACCAAATTTTCATTTTTGGATGAATTCCTGCTCCTTTTAACATGTGCTATATGTTTCTCAAATATGAATTTTTCCTTCTTGTTTCAAGAGTGGCCTGCATTTCTGTTTTCTGCATGCTTCTTATGTCACACTATATAATCTGTCTTCTGTATATTTTAACTGTGTAATCTTCTCCTTTTTTACTTACATCTGCCTTCATGGCACAGTCTTACGATATTAGGTGGCAAATATGTATTTATATGTATGTAAGCATTTGTGCAAGCATTTTAGAACATGCACATTCTATTAACACTCAGTCCATCAGATCTGTGTGTAGCAAAGTAGCAAATGGAACTTCCTGTGTGTTCATGAACTTTGCCACCTAGTGTAAGGTTGCACTGTTGTTTTTCTGACAGTTTACCTTGTGCTGTATGTGCCCATTTTCCCTGTCCCTTCTCTGTGTTTATTTCAATCTAGAAATACCATCTATCGTGGATCTCTTTTCAGACCACTGCAATTTTTCTGTAAAGCCCGGTATGTGACCAGCCCAGAAGCATGTTGAAGCGCATGTGTGCTGCTTGTGATCTCATGCATTCAAAATCCCATGCTGATCAAAGCTTATTTCTCACTCCGATGGTTTTGCATGTTGAAAATCCAACACATTGCCTGCACCTGTAATTGGTGGGATAACAATATGATTTGATTTAACTGGCTGAGTGATTTTTGATCTGGAAATTACATTATCACTTGACATCAAGGAACAAACATCACAACATCAAATTAACATTAGCTATAGCTACACCAGGCTAGAGTTAGGCAAGATGGCGAGGAAACATCCAATGATAGAATTAAGACAGATTTATAATTATTATATTTATATGATCAGTTTATGAGAAAAATCTAGTGAGCTGCCTACCCAGAAAACCTTTTAAGGCATCATCCGATGGAAAGGCCCAAAAGGTTTTTCAGTTTTTCTTCTAACATGCCTCATTTTTGCGCAAATCTTAGGCAGCATTGCATGTTTCCTTCACAAAGAATGCAATTATGTAATGTTTTTTTTTTTTCATCAGCTGAACCCCTTTGACCTAAAACATTTACTTCAAGTACCCCCTGAGATATTAAGAAATTAAATATTTCAGTAATTTACATTTGCATGTTTTTGTCACATTTGTAACAGAATAAATACATTTATTTTACACTTTTTTTTATGCTTATGAGAGTATGAATTCAAAGCCATTATAAATAATATGATATGCATACACTTGCTCATGTACACAAATCTCCTCTCAGGAAACACTCCTACCATTACCTTTAAACTGCACTGCAGCGTGCTTGCCCTAACAAGCGGGATAATAATCAAAGCATAATTGAGCATATAGCTCGTTCATCCATGCACAGATATTAGTGACAGCTAAGCTCTAATGATGAGCTCGCTCTAATGTTCACCTTACAGTTACTGTTGCCGCAAATGCTGTCAAATCATGTGTGAAGATCCATGGGTAATATTTATGGGTGCATTAATTGGTCCTTGTGATTCTAAATGGTGTGAATCTCAGAGTGCCGATACAAAATATAATTAAATTGATGTTTATGTAAATGAAGTAGTACTTTCATGTATCATTTTTTCCCATAAGTGTATAGTGTTACTGAGCTTGGAAAGATTTTTAAGACATCACTTTTGATTTTAGTTCAAACATTTAAAGAAATAATTACCCACAAATGCATTGTCATTTCAAACCCGTATGACTTTCTTTTTTCCATGGAACACGAAAGGAGATGTTTTGAAAAATGTTCACACTGCTCTTTTTCATACAACAACAGCATACAGTCACCAGGAGCTGTCAAGCTCTAAAAATGAGACAAAACTTCCATAAAAGTTGCCAGTATGCCATTTTCTCCTGTATTGATTCAAGCTTCAGAAGATCCTCAAGCTCAGGTATTTTCATCAGAACATGTAAAAATCGATATGCCATTTATCTGCAAATGTATTGCTCAACAAGTAATTCTCAATTAACTAAATATACAGTAATAACATATTTGTTCTCTCTTTCAGATCTACAACCTTCCTGCTATTCTGAGCAAGAAAGAGGAGAGTACGTATTTAAGTCTTTAAGCACAGCCACAGTATTATTAATTTATTTTATTTTATATTATGTCTTGCCTATTTTTTTTTTTCAGTCAGAGCGAGCT